ATAAAATATATCCACTTTTTTTTAGAACATCTGCTTTATTTATAATTTTGAAAAATTACAAGTTGCATGACATGATATGTTGTATACAATCCGGGACAGAATTATAAATACAACAAGGAGAATACTGAGATTGTCCTATGCGAGCTACCTTATCAGCTAGAACATTTTGATGTCTTTTGACGTGAACAAAGTGAACACCTGCAAAAAAAAAGAACTCCAATCTTTGATATCATGGAGTAAATTTTCCATTGCTATGTCCCTATGGTGGTTGTGTATAAGTTCCACCAATTGTTTTGAATCACTTTCAAAAATTATTCGTTGAAAACCACGAGACCAAACTATTTGCATAGCATGAAGGAGACTAAATCTTTCGGCTTCGAGAGCCGAACTAGCATTAGGGAGAAAAGAGGACGCAGCACACACGAATTCTCCATTTGACTTGATGCAAAAAATTGAATCACATTATTAGATCCAATCCTCAAACGATACTGATGCGGAAGAAACTATAACCAGCGCACCAAATATAACCCGAGAAGCCCGACAAAGGAGAAGACAAAACCTAGGCCACGACACGCCGAACTAATTTTTCTCTTTACCTCATCAGAAATTTCAATCTTACAAATCTCAATCCCAAAAGAGATGATGTGTCCAAACCACATAAAGGCCAATTTTGGGAGACAAAGTCATATTCTTTAAGTAAAAGTGAATCCTCCAGTTGGTGCAAAGGATCTTACCCAAAAAACACCGGAATAAGGGGAGATCGAACAAAAAGGCGGATAAGGAAAAACAATTGAAATATCCGAACACAGTCGTAAACAAAATCTGTCAAACCGAACCTTAGATCCGAAAAAAACATAACAAAACTAATAAAAAAATTCTATATAGAGAGCCTCGACGCCAGCAAGAAGCCGAATGCCGAGCCAGCAACTATGAAAATATTTTTTCTTCTTTCTTAAATAGAAGGCAGCGAGAATTATATCTGACGAGAGATGAAATATTTTTATCAAAAGCTAAGAACCCTAAATATTAATAATTTCATAATAATGAGCTTTTACCCTGTTTTTTATGGGTTAGAGTTAAATCCATTATGATTGGTTAAATTCTTTTATTGGTTAAAATTCAAATTTATTAAAATGGATTTGGATCGGATCAGGTAAAATATCAGTAGATTGTAACAAAAAATTGAGCATGTTATGGCCTAGATCTTATGCTAGTTGATCAGGAATGCATGCAGCATTACAAGCAAGTAAAGATGAAGAAATTTTTAGATTATCCCTAACTTAGTGAGTAATAGCTTAATATTCATAAAATCGTTGAATACTAATAACTTGACAAGAGAACTACTCACACATGTCCATAGACAACAAGAAAAAGATATATAATTATTAATAATCATAAACTATAATTAAAACAAGTAGATTCATAAATCTTTTCAATATGGAGATAGAAATGCGAGTTTTCTCTCTAAAGCTCTTGAATCAAAAACTATTAAAGGGTGTGTCGCTGCGGTTTATTGTAGTGTATTATGGTGAGTTATGTCTAAAAAGAAAATAAAAAATATATATAGGCCATGGTCGATTAGTATTACGTTTAGGGCAAAGAGGAAATTCAAGGTCTAGGCAGAAGCATTAATCAGGGATTTGTACCAGTGCAAGAGCATCGGTAAAATAGCACATCGAGGTGAGGCAAGGCATAAGGCTCTCGTGACCAAAGATGGATCCTTCAATGCATTGCTATCTTTTGCTTGCTTCTTCTGCGAGCCAAACATACATGTTTTCAATAAATCGAAAGTAATTTCTTAACCACAACTC